GTAAGCTTCTCTCTTCTATGTGCGGGTTATTTTACTACTACTACTACTACTACTACTACTACTACTACTACTACTACTACTGCTACTGCTACTACTACTACTACTACTACTACTACTACTACTACTACTACTACTACTGCTACTACTACTACTACTACTACTACTACTACTACTACACACTACTACTACTACTATACTACTACTACTACTACTACTACTACTACACACTACTACTACTACTACTACTACTACTACTACTACACACTACTACTACTACTACTACTACTACTACTACTACTACTACTACTACTACTACTACTACTACTACTACTACTACTACTACACTACTACTACTACTACTACTACTACTACTACTACTACCACCACCACTACTATTAATACTACTGATTCTTCTATTACAAACTCTAATTCTTCTTCTTCTATTGCTGCTACTGTTAAGGAAAATAATAATAATAATAATAATAATAATAATAATAATAATAAAATAAAATATCTTATTTTGAAGAATGCAAGTAAAAAAAAGAGTAATAATCAGAAAACAGGAGACAAAAGGGAGAGAGAGAGAGAGAGAGAGAGAGAGAGAGAGAGAGAGGCAAACAGACAGTAAAGAATAGCAGGAACAAGTAATTTTGATTAATGGAGCAAATCTGGATTACCTTCCCCCATTAATTGTGCGTTTAATTACTTTTTCTCTTCCCCCCATTCCCAATTTCTTGCTTTTCTTTTGCACCTATTATCCTACATCTCTCTCTCACCCTTCCTCCTCCTCCCTTACTACTTTTCACCCATCTACTTCCTCTCCTTCCTCACTCTCCCTAGCCGCTCTTCCTCCCTTCCCCATTTCTTATTACCCCTCCTCCTCCTCCCTTTCGTTTCTCTCCTCCTTTACCATTCTCCCCTTCCTCATTTTCCTTTCTTCCTCATCCCTTCTTAGTTCTCTCCATTATTCTTTTCTATTAATTCATAAACTTAAGAGAAATTGTCTCTTATTCTCCATTTCTTCCTCATCTTAATATATATTTGTCTCCCTACTTACCTGTTTATTCGAGTATCTAGTCACCCATTATCATTATACATCTGTCGACTCCCCAGCTACATTAACTATCTATCGACTCACCCACCTGCAATGTTTGTCTATCGACCCATTCCACCTAAAGTAACTATCTATCGACCCATCCACTCATCCACCTTCCGGCAGCGACGATGACGGCAACAGCCACAACAGCAACAGCAGCGACAGCCACAACAACAGCAGCAACAACAGCTACAAGAGCAGCAGCAGCGACAGCCACAACAACAGCAGCAGCGACAGCCACAACAACAGCAGCAGCGACACCCACAACAACAGCAGCAGCGACACCCACAACAACAGCAGCAGCGACAGCCACATCAGCAGCAGCAGCGACACCCACAACAACAGCAGCAGCGACACCCACAACAACAGCAGCAGCGACAGCCACAACAGCAGCAGCAGCGACACCCACAACAACAGCAGCAGCAACACCTACAACAACAGCAGCAGCGAGAGCCACAACAGTAGCAGCAGCGACACCCACAACAACAGTAGCAGCGACACCCACAACAACAGCAGCAGCGACAGCCACAACAGCAGCAGCAGCGACACCCACAGCAACAGCAGCAGCGACACCCACAACAACAGCAGCAGCGACAGCCACAACAACAGCAGCAGCGCCACCCACGACAACAGCAGCAGCGACACCCACAACAACAGCAGCAGCGCCACCCACAACAACAGCAGCAGCGACACCCACAACAACAGCAGCAGCGACACCTACAACAACAGCAGCGACAGCCTCAACAACAGAAACAGCAGCAGCGACAGCCACAACAACAGCAGCAGCGACAGGCACAACAGCAGCAGCAGCGACACCCACAACAACAGCAGCAGTGACACCTACAACAACAGCAGCAGCGACACCCACAACAACAGCAGCAGTGACACCTACAACAACAGCAAGAGCGACACCCACAACAACAGCAGCAGCGACAGCCACAACAGCAGCAGCAGCGACACCCACAACAACAGCAGCAGCGACACCCACAACAACAGCAGCAGCGACACCCACAACAACAGCAGCAGCGACACCCACAACAACAGCAGCAGCGACACCCACAACAACAGCAGCAGCGACACCACAACAACAGCAGCAGCGACACCCACAACAACAGCAGCAGCGACAGCCACAACAGCAGCAGCAGCGAGACCCACAACAACAGCAGCAGCGACAGCCACAACAACAGCAGCAGCGACACCCACAACAACAGCAGCAGCGACACCCACAACAACAGCAGCAGCGACACCTACAACAACAGCAGCGACAGCCTCAACAACAGAAACAGCAGCAGCGACAGCCTCAACAACAGCAGCAACGACAGCCTCAACAACAGCAGCAACGACAGCCTCAACAACAGCAGCAACGACAGCCTCAACAACAGCAGCAAGAACACCATAAAGAAAAGAAAATCATCAGCAGCAGTATCTACATCAACACAGACATCAACAGCACCTCCACAACATCTCCATCAACGGCGGTGTCTACATCAACATCAACAGGGACAATATCAGTAGCAACAACAGTAATGACAGCAGAAATAACAGCAGCAACTGCAGTGAAGAAGAGGAAGAGTTAGAGAAAGAAGAGGAATATTACGAGGAGAAGGAGAAAGAGGAAGAGGAGGAGGACGAGGAGGAGGAAGAGGAGAAGAGGGAGACACCGCAGCCATGTAAGACAGACTCCAAAATAACATAAGGGTGATGCGGGTAGAGTTAATTAAGTGTGTGTGTGTGTGTGTGTGTGTGTGTGTGTGTGTGTGTGTGTGTGTGTGTGTGTGTGTGTGTGTGTGTGTGTGTGTGTGTGTGTGTGTGTGTGTGTGTGTCGCCACCTGTGTCAAGGTGAAACCCATGTCACTTCAGCTGGTATTCTGGGCATGAAAATGCGGGTGACAGGTGTGTCAGAGAGAGAGAGAGAGAGAGATAGGTAGATAGGTAGACAGATTCAAAGCGTCAGAAACATCGTTTTAAACTTGCTTCGAGTTAAAAAGGTTTTATCAGTCAGTTTGCAGGTGTGGAGTGCAGATGGGGTGACTAATGCTGCAAACAACAAACACAACACACACCACCACACACACACCACACACACACACACACACACACCACACACACACACACACACACACACAACACACACACACACCAACAGCAGCAACAACACAATAACAATATATATATATATATATATATATATATATATATATATATATATATATATATATATATATATATATATATATATATATATATATATATGCAATAAGATCACAGTAAACAGGTGATTTCAGAATATGCAAAACAACCACTCTGAAAGAATAAAGAAATTCCAAGCGCTTTCGTGACTACTCACATTATCAAGGAACTATGATAATGTGAGTAGTCACGAAAGCGCTTGGAATTTCTCTATTCTTTCAGAGTGGTTGTTTTGCATATATATATATATATATATATATATACATATATATATATATATATATATATATATATATATATATATATATATATATATATATATATATATATATATATATATATATATATATATATATTATATATATATATATAACGTACGTAAAGGCAGATAAAACGTACGTTTTATTTGTTTTGATGTAGGTTGTATTGGGTGTATCATGTGACTGTATTTTAATCACAGCTCCTGTGCTAATTAGGAGTTTTTTTTGTATCCCTCTAATACCCTTTTTGCTGCTGCATTAATTACAGCGGTCATCAAGGGCCGCTCCTAAATTATTACTCTCACCATCAACATTTTTTTTTACCTTGTGGTGAGTCATTTCGTGATCCGCTAAACCCGTATGGGTCACTCAGCGGTTTTCTTTGGGGAGGGGGGGGGGAGATTGTGTAAGGCTCGATCCTTCGTCCGCTTGACTTTCAGACTGCCATCACTTATCTTTCCCTTATCTCTGGTGTTTGTGGGGTGCTTTGGTACTAATGTAAAGCTCTTGGTCCAAACGTTAGAGCAAAACTCCTCTTCCTCGGATCAAACCTGATTTTTTCCCCTCCACGCAAGTCCCAGGCACTGTGTGACCCCGGTGGGTTTAGCGATGTTCTTACGAAGCTTGTGATTGCACAGTGTTGCAGTAACGTAATATATTCACTGTTGCAGTAACGCGGTATACTCACTGTTGCAGTAACATGGTTAAGGTCTCTTGATTCAGGGAATTAGAGCTAACCTAATTACTTACCATTTTTAAGGTGCCCTATGACACCTACGGGTTTTAGGGGCTTGGTCGACAGACTCGGGGCGAATTAGAGTGCAACCAATACAACCGGAGTCTCGTGGCTCACCTGGTAGCGCTCTCAGCTTGCATGCTAAGGGACCGAGGTTCGATCCCGGTGGAACCGTAGGGCATATTTTTTAAACCCTATTTCCTTGTTCGCCTATCAGTAAGTAGGTACCTGTGTGTTAATCGACTGTTGTGGGTGGCATCCTGGGGAGTGGGCTGGGCTTCGAAATTAGCTGTGTAAGAAAAAATCAGGTATTAATTAGACTGAAAGGAAACTACTGTAGCTGTTCATAAAGAAAATGCTCACTGAAATTTACAGCCGGGCTGTGGCTCGTACGTTGGTTTGCGTGCAGCCAGCAGCAACAGCCTGGTTGATCAGGCTCTGATCCACCAGGAGGCCTGGTCACAGACCGGGCCGCGGGGGCGTTGACCCCCGGAACTCTCTCCAGGTATATATATATATATATATATATATATATATATATATATAATATATATATATATATGCATGTGTGTGTGTGTGTGTTATAAGGGGCGCACCTCTAGCGCAAATTGCGCAGACAGCCTCGGAGAAGTAGATAAAAATGCTTTTAGTAAAAGAATTTGGATTTCTCCCTGAAGCTATTTGAATATTCCATTGTAACGTTTATGTTTTTCCACAGGACCGCCAGGGCAACACTCTTCACAGCTGGCACATGATGAGCACCGAGGAGGAGACGCTGGTGCTGCGCCAGTTTCTGAGGTTCGGAGAGACGAGGAACATTGCTCAGCAGCTTCTGCAACACGACGGCACCTCCCCTAGGCCCGACCACGGCCTCTCCCTCAGAGACTCTCACAGGGACTCCCACAGGGAACTACACAGGGACAGGGACATCCATAGAGACTCCCTGAGGGATTTGCACAGGGATCCCCATCGAGATCTCCATAGAGACACTCTGAGAGATGTGCACAGGGATAGTCACAGAGAAATAAGGGATATTAGGGATAGGGATCCTCTGAGAGATGTTAGGGACTTCAGGGATGAACTGCGGCGGGAAGAGAGCCGTCGGGAGGAGCCACAAAGGTCGCAGCACCAACCACCCCACCACCACCACCAACCCCACCACCACCATCACCACCACCAGCAGTCCGAGATAGGCAAAAACATGGACTCCGACCTCAAGAAATTCCTGGAGCGAACCAACATGCTGTTTAGTCCCTTTATCAGGGGAGACCCAAGCTCACTGCTGCGGCCGCCTCCTCCTTCAGGTCCCCCTGGGCTGCCTCCTGCACCCCCTCCTCTGTCAGCAGCATCTCTTGCATCCAACCTCCTAGCGGCAGCTAGTCCTTCTTTGGCCACTTCTTTACTAGCTAACCCTCAGTTAGCCTCTTCTGCCCTCTCCATGTTGCGTCTCCCTGTTCCCCCAGTCTCTCTTCCCAATATCTCGCCCAACGGTTCTTTGCCCAACAGCTTCGGTTCCCCGACGAGTCCCATGGGCGGCTCCCCACTCAACAGACTTCAAAGTATGCAGCCCTACGACATCCGGAAAGAAAGACAGAGCCCAAGTCCGGCTTCCAGGGGCGAGCCATCCCTAGGACACGGAGGTCGCGGCGGCGGCGTGGCTAGTCCGGCTAGTAGTGGTGGCGGCGGAGGCGTCCAGGTCAGTGTCAGTTGCGGCAGCGTAACGCCCCTTGCCGCCACCGCCGCCCAGCCTCCGCCGCCCACGCCCGTCTCCATCAACAGTGACCCACCCACCGACTACACAAGCGATGACGATGATATAAGTTTTTCAGCCTCCACCACTGCCCTCAACCTCTCCACCACCTCCACTACAGTGGTCACTAGCGCCACGCCCACCACCCTTTCCATGCCTCCGAGGCCGCAGTCTCCCGTGGGCGGACCCAACACACCTGGCAAGAGATCGTGGAACCCAATAAACATGGGAACGTCGCTCATCAACCCAGTGACAGGCAAGAAACGAGTGCAGTGTAACGTCTGCCTCAAGACTTTCTGCGACAAGGGCGCCCTTAAGATCCACTTCTCAGCCGTGCACCTGCGGGAGATGCACAAGTGTACGGTCGAGGGCTGCAACATGATGTTCAGTTCACGGCGCTCCAGAAATCGTCACTCGGCTAACCCAAACCCGAAGTTGCACACGCCACACGTTCGCCGCAAGATCTCGCCGCACGACGGTCGTACCTGCGCCGCACATCCTGTGGTGGGGCCGCATCTTGGTGCTCAGGGATTCCAGCCCCCTGCCGGGTTCCCGCCTATTGGCGCCTTCCCTGGTCAATTCAGTGGCATCAATCCCCTTACTGGCCTCCCCTTCATCCCACCTTCTGCAGCAGCTACTGAAGACCTTCACAAACAGGCGCTGGAGTTGCAACGACGCACATTGGAGATGCAACACGCTATGGGTAAAACCTCGTTGGACCTGTCCATGCGAGGCCGCGATGAAGGGCCTCCTTGGAGGTGTGACTATGGTAACTTTAACACCTCGATGGTTCCTGGCGAAGATGGAATGTCAGGCGACAAGATGCAGAATGATAGCGGGGAGGGCAAGCGAGGGAGGGGTGATGACGACTTCCACGCTAATAATAGCCTCGACGACGAAATAGACGATGACAGCATGAGTGTCGACACCCAGAGCATAAAGGGAGAACCAGGTGCCTCACCCTCCGCCAACAAGCGGAAACGAAAGAGCCAAAATCCAACGAAGTTTGCCTTCAGACTAGAAGATGATGATCTGATATCAACAGATGACGACGACGATGATGACAACGATGATGATCTGGACGACATAGATGCAAAAGACTCAGAGGATGATAAGAATGAAGATAAAGAGTTAGATGCCATGAGTGATGACGACGAAGATACCAGTGGTGCCATGAAGGACAGCTCTTCCATGAGCTGTGGCGATAAATCAAAAAACGATAAAGACTCTGATGGCAGCAACCGGAAAGTCTCCTCTAGTAGCTTCGACGAGTCGGTCGACACATCTAATGCGTTGCGGCATCTCGAAGATCTCTCTAAGGGCCACTTCGCTCACCTCTCCGGTGCTGTGCCCCCAAACGCGTCAGCGTCACTCGGCCTCCAGATGGCGCCCTCGGGCAATGGCGTCACATCTTCGAGTCCCAGGCCAAGTGACCGTGACAGCGACCGGGACTCGAACCCAGGTTCCCCATCGGAGGACTCCGACGGAGCTTTCCAATTTGGCGAGGGTGGGTTTCTGAGTAGCCTGGACATTCCCATAGACAAAGAGAACCCTCGCCGCTGCATAGCATGCGGAAAGATGTTCCAAAACCACTTTGGAGTAAAAACACACTACCAGAATGTTCATTTGAAGCTTATGCACAAATGTACTGTTGAGGGATGCAACGCCGCATTTCCCTCTAAACGAAGCCGTGACCGCCACGCCTCAAATCTCAATCTTCATCGAAAGTTGCTTTCCACCTCCTCGGATGGTCCTGGCTTCCCCGCCATGACGTTCCCTGGACTACCCTTCAACCCCGCCCTCAACCCAGAGCTGCTGGCACGCCTTTACTCTGACCCAAGCACTCTCCCTCTGGGCCTCGATGCCCTCAAGGCCCACATTCCGACATCACTCGCAGAGTCGCTATTCAATGGCGACCTCGGGACAGGTGGAAGCGGCGGTGGCAACGGCGGCAGTGGTCTTCCACCAGCCGTTCATCCTCCTCCACACTTCTTCCTTCCTAACCTTCTCCCGCACTTTACTGCTAATAATAATCTTTCGGCGACAGAACGAAAAGATCGCTCTAGTACTCCTTCGCCTCAGTCGACAACACCTACGACTACCGCCACCACCACCACAGGGCCACTCGTCACTGAGATGGCTGATTCTTCTCCGCCACCTCCGGAACCCACCCCCACCACCACTAACACCACCACCAACAACAATACTACTACCAGCACCACCAGCGAAGAAATGGAGCGAGACTGGGTTTACAATCTCGAAGATGACCTCCCCACGCCAGACCGTGAGGGCAACATGCCCTGTAAGTTCTGCCACAAGGCCTTCGAGGACGGAGTGGGCCTCAAGAATCACTACGATGAGGTTCATGCTTCAGAGCTCTTCCGCTGCACAGTGGATGGGTGCAACAAGCTCTTCAGTGCCCGACGTAAGCGCAATGCCCACTCCCTCAACGATGCTCTTCATCAGCACCTACTGGAGGGTGCGACGGCGGCGAGGACAACCTGATGTCTTCGTCTTCTTCACTTGTGGCAGCTGCCCCGCGGGTCGGCCACCCCGACCTCTACCCCTCTGTATAAATGTATAAATGTGCCAATGTTTTACGTCTTATTTATATGTAGTGGTGTTAGAGTGCCCAGTGTTGCCCGCGTGTATATAGCAGTGGCTCCAGCTGCCCAGGACCCAGGCGGCTCAGTGTAGAGTAGAGGCTCAGTAACTGCATGTGTGGCGCATCTTGTAGTGCGCACTCGAGGCAGTGTCTGCCTTGGGGCTGTTTCTGTGGACAGTGCGCCCTCTAAAGGCACAGAGCTCTGTAATAAAAATGCACTCTTGAAAGACACTGCGCACCAGGGATCAACAGCATTTGTGTGGGGTTTGTGACTTGAAGGAACTTTCTAGTTACTACCCAACCTAGAAGATGGCATCTCCAGACTCTCCCTGGAGGTGAAATGGTGTATTGCAGTGTTGATATAGAGGCAAGATGGTGAGTTGTATTACGTGTAGTTACCCGGAGGTGCTGTGAGCCATCTTAACGCTGAATGATTTAGAGCTGCATTAATGTTCTCAGGATTCTTTGTGAATCGTTTTGCATACCAACAAAATGGTATCCAAGAGTCAGTGTTCAACTTCATTGTGCATTTGTATTGAATTTTTTTTTGTTTATATTGCTGTAAATGTCGGTTTTATACTGTGACTCGCTCTGTCATCTGTGTAAATGGTGCTATATTTTAGTTGGCACATCCATGTCTCCATTTACGTACAATTTTGGTTATTAAGTTCATGTTTTCCTTCGTGTGATCGTAATGTCAGCGTCTTCCACTATATTCCTTTTGCTGTGTTAGAGTGAACGCATTTGCATGATCACAGTGTTTCTTAAACTCCCGCAGGATATGAGACAGCCACTAAAGATGCAATAAGCCTTCTTAAGATATAAAGAATTTTCTTACAATACGAGTGATACTCTTATACTCCCCATCTTAAGATATTAAAAAATGTTGGATAATCGCCTTAGATGAGTTCCTTTCTTTATTGTCTTTAAGGGACTAGTTTTTTCTCTTAACTTTGCAGAAGGTTAAAGGCTGTCTCTGGCATTCCTGGCAATGGCCAAATTCAGAAACAATATTAAAAGTACTTTTTTTAATTGTTTGCTCAACTCACTGCTAGTTAGTCACGGTGTATTATCACCCTTCCACAGCACCAGCTGCTAGTCTGCAGGTGACTAGGAATATTAATAGCATGTTGGGGAAATTTCCAGGTGCATCTCCTTAACTTCCACCAGAAGTTAACAGGTGATTTATCATCCTGGAACATTTAGTAGCAGATGTGTGTGGAATATATCAGTCGCAGTGGTTTAAGCCAGTTGTTTTAGGGAACAGATACAATATATGTAAAGAATATGGAATATGACAAGTACTTTGAGGGGATACACCAACCATTTTAAGAGAATATACCAACCTAAAACAAATTACTTCAGGAACGTGTATAAAAAATTATTAACCAATTACTAAAGGGGTCAAAACGTGCCTGTCAAAATGGTCGCCGCAGTTTGGGCAGCGCCTCGACCTGCCGAAGGGAGTTCGAGGAACACTTCGAGCCTTGTGAATGCCTCCCTCCACTTGCCCCTTACCTCTTGGTGAAAACGTTTTGGCTTAATTTACTGTGCTGATAGTCGCGTTCACCCTCTTTTGCCCTACACAAGAGATAGAAGAACGACAATCAACAGTGTGAAATTGCCAAAGATTCTTCTCTCCCTTTATTTTAACACTTCGTTCATTTATTTTTGTCTTATGTGTTCTCGAGTGAAACGCTGAATGATATTCCTTGTGGTCTCCGGTTCTAAACTGGAGTGAGCAGTTGAGACAATACTTCTAAATGAGGTGTGTGTAAGGTAGATATCTGTCTCTCTCTCTCTCTCTGTCTCTCTCTCTCTCTCTCTCTCTCTCTCTCCTCTCTCTCTCTCTCTCTCTCTCTCTCTCTCTCTCTCTCTCTCTCTCTCTCTCTCTCTTACTCTCACTCTCACTCTCATAGAGAATGTGGGTCTAGCCACACCAAACCTCGTAGATAATCGAACCCCGGACCAACCGGATTAGATCTCTTCATAATAGTATTTTTAGTCATAACAGTTAAGGTGTCCAACAAGTATAGTTTCTAAACCACTGACTGAATATCATCCAGTTTGTAAACAAGCGACAAAAAAGGTATATTTTTTTCTCACAATGGTTCATTACCTGGTTCGGTTGTCTGCTAAAAATCTCACACAAATCTAATCTGGGTATCTCGACCTTCCTGATCTCGACGTCTGGTCCGGAGCATCTCTTCTACTCTCCTCCTCCTCCTTTTCGGGGGAAGATAATGCCATAACCATTCTTTTTTTTTTATCTCAGCTCAAAAAAAATGGGGGAAAATAATAATGTTCTAGGGCCAGCTGTACTTATAATAAAAATAATAATTAAAACATTGTGTCAAACATATGTTTTTGTACAAGTGTGTGTGTGTGTGTGTGTGTGTGTGTGTGTGTGTGTGTGTGTGTGTGTGTGTGTGTGTGTGTGTGTGTGTGTGTATGTGTGTGTGATGGCCCCAAGCAACCTGCAGAAGCAGCGTCTGGGTTGCGCTCGTAGTGTAGGTTGGAAGAAGGAAGATAACTAGTGTTTTCTGAACGAGTCAACCCTCCCTTCCTCCCTTTTCCCCACTCCTCTTCTTCCTTACCTTCCTTTTTTCCTACCCCCTTCATTATCCTAATTCCTCATCCCCCCCCTGTCCCACCTTACCCACCCTCTACCTCCCTCCCACACCAATTCCTTCCTCCCAACTGTCCCTTTCTTCCCTATTGTCTCATCTTCATCCCCACAAAAGCCCCATTTTTCCCCTTAGGGTACTGGTGTATATCAAGTCTACTGTAGTGGTCTGCTGTTGGGACCTGATCAGTGATCTACTATTAAGATCTGATTCAGTGGTTTACTGTTAGGGCCTGATTCAGTGGTCTGCTGTTGGGACCTGATTCAGTGGTCTGTTATTAGGGCCTGTTTCAGTGATCTACCTTAGTGGTCTGCTGAGATCTGATTCAGTGTTCTGGTGTTGGGACCTGATCCAGTGATCTACTACAGTGGTCCTGCTGTCGGAACCTGATCAATTGGCCTACTACAGTGGTCTTGCTGTAGGGACCTGCTCCAGTGGTCTGCTGCAGTGGTTCTGCTGTAGGGGCCTGCTCTTGTGGTCTACTGCAGTGGTCCAGCTGTAGAGACCTGCTCCAGTGACCTACTACAGTGGTCTTGCTGTAGGGACCTGCTCCAGTGGCCTACTACAGTGGTTTTTGCTGTAGGGACCTGCTCCAGTGGTCTACTGCAGTGTTCCTGCTGTCGGGACCTGATCCAGGGGTCTACTACAGTGGTACAGCTCTAGAAGTCAGCTCTAGCATCCTACTCTAGACGTCCGCTACAGAAATACCGAGACGCTGGCCAGGGGCAGTTTTCACCTCCTCCCTCATCCCTACACTGTGACTTCTATTGACATTTAAAATAAAAAACAAAAAATTACAGGAAAAAAAATTCGTTGTTACGTCTTGTGCTGAACTTAGCTGTAATTGTTAAAGAAAATAAACAGGTTCTATGTGTATCGTCTTTTCTTTGTAAATACCTTGAAGATGATAATAAAGTCTCCCAGATAAAGCACTGTGTTTATACTGACCTTTATTGCTCAACACCTGTGTCATTTGCTTGACACCTGTGTCATTTACTTGACACCTGTGTCATTTACTTGACACCTGTGTCATTTACTTGACACCTGTGTCATTTGCTTGACACCTGTGTCATTTGCTTGACACCTGTGTCATTTGCTTGACACCTGTGTCATTTGCTTGACACCTGTGTCATTTGCTTGACACCTGTGTCATTTGCTTGACACCTGTGTCATTTGCTTGACACCTGTGTCATTTGCTTGACACCTGTGTCATTTGCTTGACACCTGTGTCATTTGCTTGACACCTGTGTCATTCTCACCCTTATTTAGCCAAAAAAAATATTGAATAAAATTTCTTTCCGGTCCCTCTCCTGTTAAATAATATTTGTGACAATAATAATAATAATAATAATAATAATAACAATAATAATAATCATTTTTAATAAGATACATTTGTTACATGAAAAAGCCAATATTTATACGAGGCATTATTATTATTATTATTATTATTATTATTATTATTATTATTATTATTTATTATTATTATTATTATTATTATTATTATTATTATTATTATTATTATTATTATTATTATTATTTTATTATGGAAGAATACCTAGAGGAAAAAAATGTTGACACATGTTTACATGTTTACACATGTTTACACATAAAACATAATTTTAAAACGCTGAAATAAACTTACGTTGTGTAAAACTTCATGTCAACCAAATTTTAAACCCTACCTACCCGTTTTCCCTTAACCCTTGGAGGTGGTGAAGTGCTCTTGTTCCCCGGAAGTGGAGCTACCCATGAAGATTGCCGTTTCTTGATGCCCAGGAGCTGTGTGATCCCACCCCTACGGGTTTAGCGCTTCCCGAGAATTATACTAATTGGGGAATGTTGGGGGTAGTGACGTAGTCGCTCCGTCACACTCCTTGTGACGTGGTTCCTCCGTCACACTCCCCTTGTGACGTGGTTCCTCCATCACACTCCTTGTGACGTGGTCGCTCCGTCACACTCCCCTTGTGACGTGGTTCCTCCGTCACACTCCCCTTGTGACGTTCCTCCGTCACACCCCTTGTGACGTGGTTCCTCCGTCACACTCCCCTTGTGGCGTGGTCGCTCCGTCACACTCCCCTTGTGACGTGGTTCCTCCGTCACACTCCCCTTGTGACGTGGTCGCTCCGTCACACTCGCCTTGTGACGTGGTTCCTCCGTCACACTCCCCTTGTGACGTGGTCGCTCCGTCACACTCCTTGTGACGCGGTTCCTCCGTCACACTCGTGATGTGGTTCCTCCATCACACTCCTTGTGACGTGGTTCCTCCGTCACACTCCTTGTGACGTGGTTCCTCCACACCCCTTGTGACGTGGTTCCTCCACACCCCTTGTGACGTGGTTCCTCCGTCACACTCCCTTGTGACGTGGTTCCTCCGTCACACTCCCCTTGTGACGTGGTTCCTCCGTCGCACTCCCCTTGTGACGTGGTTCCTCCGTCGCACTCCCCTTGTGACTTGGTCGCTCCGTCACACTCCCTTGTGACGTGGTCGCTCCGTCACTCCCCTTGTAAAGAAGACAACTGTTGGAGCAGGAAACGGTCAACAGATATCTGTTTCCCAGTTGTCAACAACAGGGTGGTCTCCTGGTCGTCAACAACAGGGTGGTCTCCTGGTCGTCAACAAGAGGGTGGTCTCCTGGTCGTCAACAAGAGGGTGGTCACCTGGTCGTCAACAAGAGGGTGGTCTCCTGGTCGTCAACAACAGGGTGGTCTCCTGGTCATCAACAACAGGGTGGTCTCCTGGTCGTCAACAACAGGGTGGTCTCCTGGTCAACAACAGGGTGGTCTCCCGGTCGTCAACAACAGGGTCGCCTCCTGATTGTCAACAACAGGGTCGTCGTCTGGTCGTCAACAACAGGGTCGTCTCCTGGTCGTCAACAACAGGGTCGTCGTCTGGTCGTCAACAACAGGGTCGTCTCCTGGTCGTCAACAACAGGGTCGTCTCCTGGTCGTCAACAACAGGGTCGTCGTCTGGTCGTCAACAACAGGGTCGTCTCCTGGTCGTCAACAACAGGGTCGTCTCCTGGTCGTCAACAACAGGGTCGTCTCCTGGTCGTCAACAACAGGGTCGTCGTCTGGTCGTCAACAACAGGGTCGTCTCCTGGTCGTCAACAACAGGGTCGTCTCCTGGTCGTCAACAACAGGGTCGTCTCCTGGTCGTCAACAACAGGGTCGTCATCTGGTCGTCAACAACAGGGTCGTCTCCTGGTCGTCAACAACAGGGTCGTCATCTGGTCGTCAACAACAGGGTCGTCTCCTGGTCGTCAACAACAGGGTCGTCTCCTAGTCGTCAACAACAGGGTCGTCTCCTGGTCGTCAACAACAGGGTGGTCTCCTGGTCGTCAACAACAGGGTCGTCGTCTGGTCGTCAACAACAGGGTCGTCTCCTGGTCGTCAACAACAGGGTCGTCGTCTGGTCGTCAACAACAGGGTCGTCTCCTGGTCGTCAACAACAGGGTCGTCTCCTGGTCGTCAACAACAGGGTCGTCGTCTGGTCGTCAACAACAGGGTCGTCGTCTGGTCGTCAACAACAGGGTCGTCGTCTGGTCGTCAACAGGATCGTCTCCTGGTCGTCAACAACAGGGTCGTCATCTGGTCGTCAACAACAGGGTCGTCTCCTGGTCGTCAACAACAGGGTCGTCATCTGGTCGTCAACAACAGGGTCGTCTCCTGGTCGTCAACAACAGGGTCGTCTCCTAGTCGTCAACAACAGGGTCGTCTCCTGGTCGTCAACAACAGGGTGGTCTCCTGGTCGTCAACAACAGGGTCGTCGTCTGGTCGTCAACAACAGGGTCGTCTCCTGGTCGTCAACAACAGGGTCGTCGTCTGGTCGTCAACAACAGGGTCGTCTCCTGGTCGTCAACAACAGGGTCGTCGTCTGGTCGTCAACAACAGGGTCGTCGTCTGGTCGTCAACAACAGGGTCGTCTCCTGGTCGTCAACAACAGGGTCGTCTCCTGGTCGTCAACAACAGGGTCGTCGTCTGGTCGTCAACAACAGGGTCGTCGTCTGGTCGTCAACAACAGGGTCGTCGTCTGGTCGTCAACAACAGGGTCGTCTCCTGGTCGTCAACAACAGGGTCGTCGTCTGGTCGTCAACAACAGGGTCGTCTCCTGGTCGTCAACAACAGGGTCGTCGTCTGGTCGTCAACAACAGGGTCGTCTCCTGGTCGTCAACAACAGGGTCGTCGTCTGGTCGTCAACAACAGGGTCGTCGTCTGGTCGTCAACAACAGGGTCGTCTCCTGGTCGTCAACAACAGGGTCGTCATCTGGTCGTCAACAACAGGGTCGTCGTCTGGTCGTCAACAACAGGGTCGTCGTCTGGTCGTCAACAACAGGGTCGTCGTCTGGTCGTCAACAACAGGGTCGTCGTCTGGTCGTCAACAACAGGGTCGTCTCCTGGTCGTCAACAACAGGGTCGTCGTCTGGTCGTCAACAACAGGGTCGTCGTCTGGTCGTCAACAACAGGGTCGTCTCCTGGTCGTCAACAACAGGGTCGTCATCTGGTCGTCAACAACAGGGTCGTCTCCTGGTCGTCAACAACAGGGTCGTCTCCTAGTCGTCAACAACAGGGTCGTCTCCTGGTCGTCAACAACAGGGTGGTCTCCTGGTCGTCAACAACAGGGTCGTCGTCTGGTCGTCAACAACAGGGTCGTCTCCTGGTCGTCAACAACAGGGTCGTCGTCTGGTCAACAACAGGGTCGTCTCCTGGTCGTCAACAACAGGGTCGTCGTCTGGTCGTCAACAACAGGGTCGTCTCCTGGTCGTCAACAACAGGGTCGTCTCCTGGTCGTCAACAAACAACCACCTTCACGCACTCCAACCACAAAAATCCTACTGTAATTCAGCGCCCTATTATGTGGTGAGGAAATAAAGTCAAGGTAATCAAATAATTAACCATACGAGTAGAAAAGATAATCGTAAAATATAATTCTAAATATAATTGAGCGAAATAATTGAACACAAATATTTATACAACCAAAGGAAGTGTAGAGACTACAACACACATTGTTTTGAAACACACGAAGGGGTTGAAACACTGTGTTGTGTTGACATGACCTGGATGTAACTACAAGATAATTACTGGAGTGCTCGTTAACCTGAATCTTTATTATAGCTCAAATTAATCTTTATAGTTTTTTCTGTATACGTGGCATATGAAGGAAAATATTTTTGAGGATATTTTTGTACTCTGGTTTGTAGATAGCTAAAATGTACATGTACGGAGAGATGAAAACGTAAACATGCTGTATATCACACACACACACACACACACACACACACACACACACACACACACACACACACACACACACCCACACACACACACACAGGAAGTGGAATAATCTAGCAAGTGATGTAGTGGAGGCAGGAACCATACATAGCTTTAAGACGAGGTATGATCAAGTTCAAGGAGCAGAGAGAGAGAGAGAGAGAGAGAGAGAGAGAGGACCTAGTAGCGATCAGTGAAGAGGCGGGGCCAGGAGCTGAGTCTGGACCCCTGCAGCAACAATTAGATGAGCACACACACACACACACACACACAAACTTCTCACAACAGGTCAAGTGTCTACCGACAAGTGCCTTTGACAGCTGGTAACTAATACATACACAAGGATATACACATAGAAAAGCCTGTATCTCTCAGGGTGTATGTATTGAGCGTTTACTATCCATTTTTAGGATTAAAATATTCTTGACTGGTAGTGAACACATTATATGCAGCCTTAATGACCCTTTTGTGTGTAAATATTACACATTATGCGAGATGATGTATTTCATTTACGAAGATGCTTCTCCAGCTTGGAACTTAATTAATTTAGGTAGTAACAAGACATGGGTTATAAACAGGGGTTAGAGTGAGGTCCTGAGGTGAAAG